GGGGCCCGCGGCTTGTGCGCGGCCGGCGGCTCGGGGCCGGCACAGGGCCGCGGCGGGCTCTGCTCCCTTCCCCCGCGGCCACTGGTGCTCGGCCCCGGCTGGCGGAGACACTTTTCTCCCTCCTGGCCCCGTTCTGACGCGCCAGGACTGGTTTGCAGCCTCTTCCTGTTCTCTGAGCTCCAGGTAGTTGGCTGAGCCCTGCCCGCGGCTCTTCCCGCCCCCCCAGTTTGCGGGTTTGGAGGTAGGCTGGGCTGCACCGCAGGCTCAGACGGAGCTCAACGCCCGGAGGGCCCTCAAGAGCACGGTGGTCCAGCGCAGGAGCTCCGGGGGCTGGGCTTGTGTTGGAGTCATTCCTCTCGAAGTGCTCGAGGAGTTGCTGACACTCCTGTTTTGCACCATCCACCCTTGCCAGCACGATTTTCATTTTGTGTTAAGCAATTGTGGAAAAAGTGAGGGTCAGTTTTGGAACCAGCATGGTTTTCCTGTGTGGGCTGGTGGTAGCAGATTTCTCTGTGAGGCTTACTTTAAAAGTTTACTTTGTCCGATAGTGTTGTGCAAGCAAAGTCAAGATATCGAGGCTACTGCACAGATCCAGCCACTGCCACAACCATCTCTGCCACCGGCTGCGCCTATCCCAGCTCCTCAGGGCACTCCTTCCGTGGAGGAACTTATCCAGCAGAGTCAGTGGAACCTGCAGCAGCAGGAGCAGCATCTCCTTGCAATGAGACAGGTTGGTTTAAGAGAAACACTCACCTGGTTTATCTGCCAGTGGCTGCAGAAATTAGGACTGAAAGGGGGGCGGAAGAAGGTTTCCTTTGGACGGGTGGTTGGTGGGGAGAGGGAGTGTTCCTTTGCTTATTTTTGTTCTGTGGCAAATGCCATAATCTCCTTAGGACAGGTATATCTGTTGTGCTAGCAAGATTGAACCTGGATTAAAACAGTTTATTTACAATATGAAAAACCTAGTTGATTTGCAGATTGGTATAAATAGCAACTGCTTTCATCTTTGTTTAATGCTGCAGGTTGCTGGGAACTGCAAGAAGTTCCAGCTTGTAGTATTAAGTTGGATTCTCATTAGGGATGGCAGGGCACTGTGTGCTTTGAAGTTGGGTTTTGCAGGCCATATTTTACTGTTAAAGCTACTGGAAACAAAACTGAAATGTTTCTAGAGGAAGGCAGTATGCCTAGATTATGCTCTGTATGTTTAGGAACTTCCTGCAATAGCTTTTTTTTTTTTTCCCCCGATGGAGATATTTTAGAGGTGGAAACAACCTGGACTTTTCCTGAAGAGCAACAAGAGGCTTTTCTTCTCAAAACCAAATAACTGAAACATTTATATATGGTCACATTGCTTGTAAAAGGTCTTGGTCTTCGAGATAGCTACTTACAGTTAAGAGATTGGTGATACAGCAGCTAAGTGCTTCAGAAGAATATCAGATGTAATATAATTCTTTTTTTTTTTTTCTTTTTTTCAGGAACAAGTCACATCAGCAATAGCCCTTGCAATTGAGCAACAAATGCAAAAAGTTTTGGAGGAAACCCAGTTAGATATGAATGAATTTGACAACTTGTTGCAGCCGATAATTGACACTTGTACGAAAGATGCGATCTCAGTAAGTGATCTAAATCTGAACAGTTACTTGGTGGCGGTGTGGATTAAGTATCATTTGAATTTTGAGGCTGTCTGTATAGTAAACAGCAGTTTTATTGTTACGTTGTGTGGTAGGTAAGGTGCTACACGTTACTTGAAAGCTTCCTGTGCAATTATTTTAGAGTTCTAGGCATTCCATGTGATGTGAACACATTAGACTAACTTAAAATATTTTAAATTTGCTTTTCTAAGGCTGGCAAGAACTGGATGTTTAGTAATGCAAAATCTCCTGCACACTGTGAGCTGATGGCTGGGCACCTGCGAAATCGTATAACGGCAGAAGGAGCTCACTTTGAGCTTCGGTTACATCTCATCTACTTAATCAATGATGTATTGCATCACTGGTAAGGATTAAATTGTGGCTTTCAGTTTGAGGTTTTGATTAATGTGGTGAAGTCTTTCCCTGACAGATACATTGTTGGTTTGACTAGTCACTTTTTATTTTTAATATAGTAATTACTTTGAGCAACTGTCTTAAGATGCCCATAGCTGGGACAAAGATCTAGTGCTTAATAATCAAATTCAACTTTTATCTACTTTATGTATTTTTCCTCCAGACAAGACTTTACAGTAAAAATGCAAAGGAGAGAACTCTATTTTATGAATCCACTACTTCTAATATAGCA